CGCTCAAGCCAGATAGACGAGGAATGCGTTACGTAGCATCACTCAACCCACCCTCCCAACCCTTTAAGCTCAAAATCAAAGGCACTACAAAGGCTGGCAATTCGTTTGAACGCGTTTCACGTAACGTAATCGAACCTAAACACGTTCTACTGCGAGTTGTGCGATCTGATAAAGATTTCACTTTGCGCCGAGGAGAAAGGTCTGAAGTCGAGTTTTATGTCTTTAACTCTGGAGCCAACGAGGCGTTAAGACTGTCCGTCAAAGACAGGCTTAACTACGTAACTGGCATATCACTGACATCATCCCCTAAAGGCAGAAAGACAAGGAAAGCCGTGACTCTTACTGTGAAGAGCAACAAGTGGACGTTCGTCAAGCTCGTTTTCAACGTGCCTTCCAATGCCAAGATAGGTGCCACTGATACAGCAATGGTGTCTGCCTCTTACAACAATGGCAGGGGAATTGTCATGGCGCCCGTTCAACTTCTCGTCGTTGAATAGATTACATCACAAGCTTCCTTTGTAGCAATCTTTGCGCTTTTCACTTTGGGTTTCCTGTGTAAGTAAATGCACAGGGAACCCCAACAGAAAAGCCACCAGTTGCTTACAAAGGAAGGTATGTATATTTTGGTTATGGTTATTAGCCAGCCCACTATATACATGTTTACAACACGGACGGACATCTTTTTTTACATATGATGATCATTTTAATGAGGAATTGTACTTGTATTTTTTTTATTTTTTAAGGTTTTCCATGTGTTTATGTACTGTTGGAATGACTACAATAAAATAAGCTGCATTTTAAAATGCTTTGTATATTTGTATTCTACTTATGAGTTGGAGACAGACTCGTACCCAGTCGTTTCTCTTACTCGTTTTACGGGTCGGGGTGCATATTTTGTTGAAGCTATCTCCCGTCTGACAGCCACTGGTGGTGGGGACTGTCCAGAACTAGCCTTTAAAGGGATCCTAGATGCACTATACGAGGGACCTGAATGGGGATCACCGCTGTACGTAATTACAGATGCTTCAGCAAAAGACGATTCCCAGACGAATATCGAAGAGGCAAAAGAACTGGCCAAAACTAAAGGCATCACTGTGAACTTTTTTACTACAGGTAAGAGCTTTGATTGAAGTATTCAATTGTCCAAAACAAAACAGTCATTCTTTCTTAGCACGAGTTGATTGGCCAGTAACTCTTGTCTTTCAGGTGACGATTGTGGAAAACGCGATTACCACCCATTTCAGGAAGTTGCAGACGCTACTTCCGGTCAAGTACTCGATCTTCTTAACCACCAGGAACTGCGCCAACTAACGGGCTTCACCGGAAGTGTATTGGGAGGCTCGAACATCATTTGTACCGCTGACTACAGTTTATATCAAAATGTTACTGAAAAGAGATACAACATCACGGTTGATGACTCGATTGACACGATGTCTGTGTCTGTCACAACCAAACGTCGAAACCAGGNGGATCTAGTGTGAGCATCAAGAAAGCCACTATGAGTAAGAAGACTTTAAAGAAATCTCTCAAGAAAAATGGATGGAAAACACCTATTATCTCTCATAGTGTGGTTTTCAAAAGACCAGTTCTGTCTTTAGGCCTTAAACCAATTGCACCAAGAAAGCAAAGATTGACCTTCATTCGACAGGCAAAAACATACAAAATACGAAAGACACCGTCAAATAAGTTCCTCGAAGCTCTCAACGCAATTCAACGAGGCACTGCTGACGCAAAGGCTGCACAAAAGTGGAAGAGGAAGCGCAAACGCGTTAATCTACAAGCAACAAAGAAAGCACTCAAGCTAGCGGTCAAAAACCGTATGTTTCATTACGCAAGGCACAAGCTTGGACATGCCCTATACTCCATTAAGCACGGCTCTTCACGGAGACCTAAGCGATCAACAAAAGGTCAGGCAGCMAGTTTTATGGGTGATCTCAAGCGACAAATGGGTACAGACAAGTTTGACGAGTTCATGGCTGTCATGGGGGATGTTACATTAATGTTTGCTATTGATACAACTGGTAGTATGTCTGATGAGATTGACGCGGCTAAGCGCATTGCTGTAGACGTGATCAACTACCCCAGGGAGAATCCTGTTAGTTATATATTATCACCGTTCAACGATCCTAGTAAGTACAGTTTGACAATCAGAAGTGTAAGACGTGTCGCATGTGAAGAGTCAGTTTAATAACTATTATACAACAAGTCCTGGTAATAAATGTTGTCCAATAATTACTCATGGTAAGTCTATTGGTTTTCAATCTATAAATTGATGTTAGTATGACAAAATAATGCATGCTTAACATGCATACAACGATATTCGCGGTACTAGTATCCTGATATTCATATTTATACAACTTTTCAGTAAAATCAGACGTTTTGATTGGTTGGCTTTCGTGTGTTATCAAAGTATAGATACACGGATTACGTCAAAACTAATTGTTTGTTGTATAAAACAGATAGATCTCATTTTTCCGTGCGTGTGTACTCTAATAGATACACAGATGACGTCAAAATGTAGTGAGAACAACAGTCACGCACTCGACTGCGTCTCGTGCGTACTTTTTTGTTCTCACTACATTTTGACGTCATCGGTGTATCTATTAGAGTACACACGCACGGAAAAATGAGATCTATTTGTTAAATATATTTTGATTCTAGAAACCGGACCCACGACGTTTAAAAATAGCACCCAAGGAGCATTATTCGTCGATGCCATTAACAATTTAAAAGCTCATGGGGGAGGGGACTGTCCTGAATTGACGATGACAGCGATATTAGATGCTTTACATGAGGGACCTGACTGGGGATCACCGCTGTACGTATTTACCGATGCTTCAGCAAAAGACGACTCCCGGACTAACATTGAAGAGATTAAGGAAATGGCAGAGTTACAGGGAAATACCATCAACTTCTTCACAACGGGTAAAATTATTATGTCATCAACATCATTATCATCATTATCATCATCATCACCACCACCACCACAACACTACACGCAAAGTGATTACGACTTTTTGTCAAGTCGTACATTTAATGCATTTCTATAGTCCAGTGCAGTTATTAGCAACGTAGATGTTTCTAAATCGTTCTGTTTCTCTTCAGGATCACACTGCAATAATCCAAGTTACAAGTCATTCCAAGAACTAGCTGATGCCACTTCCGGTCAAGTACTCATTCTGTCCAATCACCAAGAGCTGCTGAARCTTACTGGCTTCACCGGAAGTGTTTTAGGAGGCTCGAATGTGATTAGTTCCGGTTCTAATGTGTCAAATCGTAAGAAGCGAAGAGCTGCTGGTGATCACAGATACAGTATCAAAGTTGATGATTCAATAGGAAAGATGTCTATTTGTGTTACAACAACTCGTCCCAACCAAGGGGCAGCCATCTTACTTATCAACCCAMGAGGTATCTTATATCATTGATTTACGAACATTGTGCACTTTTTAGTTCTGCTGGCAAGTTATTTTTGCTTTTCCTTGAGCTTCCTGTGAAGTAACTGTGGAGTTACCTGGACACCAGAGTCTTCCACTCCACACATGAAAAACTGGGTTGTATGTGGAAGCTATATGAACGGGACCTTGTCTCATTGACTGATTGCGCACAATCAAGTGATTTCCCGCATTTATGCATCATTTCTTTTCTCACTTTCAAGGTGTCAAAATCACATCAGGAAAAACGTCCATGACCAAGATATCTGTTTACGAGATGACTCGGCCATTAGTAGGTACATGGGCATTGGTCATCCCATCCTCTAGTGGAAAACATACTTACTATGTGAAATCCACTAGTGATACCAACATCGACTTTGAACACTNAATACCATCAACTTCTTCACAACGGGTAAAATTATTATGTCATCAACATCATTATCATCATTATCATCATCATCACCACCACCACCACAACACTACACGCAAAGTGATTACGACTTTTTGTCAAGTCGTACATTTAATGCATTTCTATAGTCCAGTGCAGTTATTAGCAACGTAGATGTTTCTAAATCGTTCTGTTTCTCTTCAGGATCACACTGCAATAATCCAAGTTACAAGTCATTCCAAGAACTAGCTGATGCCACTTCCGGTCAAGTACTCATTCTGTCCAATCACCAAGAGCTGCTGAAGCTTACTGGCTTCACCGGAAGTGTTTTAGGAGGCTCGAATGTGATTAGTTCCGGTTCTAATGTGTCAAATCGTAAGAAGCGAAGAGCTGCTGGTGATCACAGATACAGTATCAAAGTTGATGATTCAATAGGAAAGATGTCTATTTGTGTTACAACAACTCGTCCCAACCAAGGGGCAGCCATCTTACTTATCAACCCACGAGGTATCTTATATCATTGATTTACGAACATTGTGCACTTTTTAGTTCTGCTGGCAAGTTATTTTTGCTTTTCCTTGAGCTTCCTGTGAAGTAACTGTGGAGTTACCTGGACACCAGAGTCTTCCACTCCACACATGAAAAACTGGGTTGTATGTGGAAGCTATATGAACGGGACCTTGTCTCATTGACTGATTGCGCACAATCAAGTGATTTCCCGCATTTATGCATCATTTCTTTTCTCACTTTCAAGGTGTCAAAATCACATCAGGAAAAACGTCCATGACCAAGATATCTGTTTACGAGATGACTCGGCCATTAGTAGGTACATGGGCATTGGTCATCCCATCCTCTAGTGGAAAACATACTTACTATGTGAAATCCACTAGTGATACCAACATCGACTTTGAACACTTTTTTATGCAATCGATGCCTGGTCCTGTCACAGATGTACCTGTATCAGACCCTTTGATTGGTAAGTAGAAAACTGAATAAATGGATGCATGGGAATATGAATAAATGGGAAAAACTGTGATACGATAATCAGGCTTCGGAGATGAGTCACCAATAGCAAGCAAAAACAGTGGAGAGCTCATAACTTGTTTCTCTTCTTAGGTTACCAATCCAAACTAATCCTGACTCTAGCCGGCTACGAAAAAGTCCAAAAAAATACAACTACCTTAGAGCTAATATCAAAGTATGGAGAACACATCAGAAATGTCACGCTCAATCCAGATAAACGAGGAATGCGTTATGTAGCAGCACTCAACCCACCCTCTCAACCCTTTAAGCTCAAAATCAAAGGCACTACAAAGGCTGGCAATTCGTTTGAACGCGTTTCACGTAACGTAATCGAACCTAAACACGTTCTACTGCGAGTACTACGGTCTGATAAAGACTTCACACTACGACGAGGTCAGATGTCTACAGTAACGTTCCATATATTCAACGGTGAAGCCAGAAATATTATGATCAAAATATCTGCCAAGGACAGGCTAGGATATGTRGTCCCTGTTAGAAGAAATCGTCGTCGTGTTCGAGGGAAAAAATGGGCGTTTTTCAGGGTTGTCTTCAGGGTTCCTTCCAATGCCAAGATTGGTTCCAGTGATACTGCCATGGTAACTGTGACGTACAAAAACGGCGCTAGAGTTCTGGTTAAACCTGTTCAACTCCTTGTCGTTGCATAATGTTCTCATAATATCGTATAATCATTGCATCCTTAACTTTGGGCTTCCTGTGCCCTCGCTACTAGGAGTGGAGACTACATACTTTATAATCATTGAAAAMCAATAGATTCAGACCAAGGGCATTACACTGATAAGTAAAGTTAATAGTTCAAACAAGTATATCTTGTAAGATGTTGTAAATATGACAGTCGTATGTCTTTATTCACACTAAATAAACAACAAAAAGAATGATAAATTTATATCTTTTGAGAGTTTAGGCATGGTCAGGAACTGATGAAGCCCTCGTGAATCAGTGAAAATTTCGATTAAAAGGGTGGACACGCTGCAATCAACTATAAATTACGTTGTCTAAAAATATACACAACAAGCGACGATTCCCAGGGGCCAAGCAACCTATTGTATAAATGGTTAATCATTCCTCCCCTGGGGGCCTGTCGCGGGACGCCCTGTATCCCCGTGTCTACAGTAAACATATCCTTCTGAAAGATTCGGAAACTGGAAAGACATCTTTTTATTTCTGTTGACTTATAAACTCATGATAAATTCTCGAACGTTTWCTTCGATAAAATGTTTATATCATTGAAAATGTATTTTTTTACATGATATTTATTACTCTATTTCACCTGATTATAGTTTTGCAATAAGCCTCAAAGATTGATGGTTTTTCAGTATTTCTTTATCAACTTTATACGGATTGCCAATCATCCTCTTCAATTGTTAACAATCACTATATTTAGCTTTAATAATGTTTCGATGGTCCATTTGTAAACTTTTGTATAACCAAGAACGAAAATGTGGAACGACGTTCGAATGTAATGTTGGAAATTCAGAGGTCTTCAATTGTGTTTCATTGAATCCCGGCAAATCTTTGGCAACGGCTAGTATCCGCCTGGTCTGTGTTAACCACTTACATTTTTGTCGTGGTGTTTATCAGAATATCAATAAGGTCTAGTGATGTCTGTCTGATAAAAGAACTGTACACCTTTTCCTGTGATGATTTGGAAAACAATAACGACAATTGAACAGCTCCGTGAAAGCCGTCACATTACATCAAGTACATCGGTATTCGG